TATATATATATATATATATATATATAAAAATTAGGGATGCACCTATATATCGGCTGCCGAAACATATCAGCCGAAAATGTTACTTTTGGCATAATGCCGACAGTCCCATTTTCTGGCCGATACAGCGGTGCATCCGTTCTTTCGCTCTTCTGCGCTGAGTGCTGCTCTGTGTCCCAGCGGGGAGGAGAGAAACTGTCGCAGACGGACGAGCACTGCGGGAGGAGAGCGCTGTGAGCGGCCGGCGTCTCTCCTCCGACGCCGCTCCGCCTTCTGTGACAGCTGTCGGGAAGGAGAGTGAGGTAGAAACACTCCGTGATCGCTGAGTGTTTGTAGATAATTGAGGACATGGTATGGTTACTATATCCTCTATTATGAATGAATGGGAAGTAATCTACATTGCCTCCTGTTCATTCATGATTGTAGATATATTAAACATGCTCTGCCCTCATGTTATCAATGAACAGGAACACTCAGTATAGAGGATTCCTGTTCATTGATACCAACGGCTGCAGAAAAAGAGATAGAGGACTTTGTGTCCTAAATTTCTTTTTCTATTTTAAAAGGGAAATATCAGGGGTCTGTTTAGACCCCTAATATATCCCCAAAGCACCTAAAAGTAAAAAATAAAATATTTAATAAAAAAATGAACTAAAAAACATGAAAAAGTTTATTAAAAAAAAAAACATTTTCTGTTTCAACCTGACATATTTTTTCTTTCGGTTTTGAAATTTTTCCTTTCGGTGCACCTCTAATACAAATTATAAAGTATATGTTTGAAAATATTTAAGTGTTTTATAGTCAGCATTGCTCCAACTTTGTATAGCCCTGTTTGTTTCAGGAGCTGATGGAATCTCTTACATTGCTTGCAAAAATTGCCCAGATCATTGATTGAACTTTATAATAAAACATTTTGGCAGTATTATCCCATCAATAGCTGCCTGTATGATGGATATATTTTTTTATAAAGGTTACAAACTATACTTGTGTCCAGTTATCTGTGTGACATACCTAGATGAGATGAAAATTTTTTTTTTCTTTTTCATATAAATTTCCTTTTTAATGCCTCACTTCCTTAAAATAGCTATGGACATAAATTAAGTTGATCTGACATCATGTATCCTGTTTCAGTGTGTTGTTTACATCAGTGGCTGTGCTTTTCACTTTAGCTTCCCGAAGCCATATAGGGAGCTGTTTTGTTTTCCAGCTCATCAGGAAGTATTTTCAGTATAGGGCAGGAAGATAATCTGGCGGTGGCGGTTTTGTGTGCTGTGTATAGACTCAACAAATACCAGGAAGTTAGACGATCAGTAGACAGCTGCAATTCTGCCACCTGGTGATAAACAAAGAGTAGTATTTTTTAAAGGGCTCGACCACACCATAGTACACATATTAACACATTAGAATGCTCTACAGAAAAATCCAAGCACACACCAATGCAGCACGTTGGTGCAACCCGAACGCATAGGACATGAGGCAGATTGCCTTGCTCTTGCATTGGGACTGTGTTGGGCAACCTAGTCCAATGCTGTTAGTGTTAACAGCCCTAACTTAAACAAATGTAAGGTAAACCTTTTCTAAACACCGTAAAATCCACTGATTATCCCTTCCAACATAAATACAGAAACAAGGAGATCATTACTAATTTTAGCGTGCTAAGCAAAGCTGTGTAAATCATTGTCCAACATTTGGCACCGAGTTCCGTCAAGAGGTCAAATCTTTTTCCCTTATAAATATTTTTATTTTATTTTTTTCATACACTGCTGGCCTCCAATTCTTTGGATAAGACTTTTGTACAAGATATCTCTCATAAGGCTTCCACATACATTCATCTGTCACTCCTTGGGATTTGAATTTGGTTCTTTTGGCACTTCAAAAAACAGCATTTGAGCCGGTTTGGATATTTGCCCTTAGTTATTTTCCTTGTCACCATCACCTCTGTGAGGCATGTGTCTGAACTGGTGGCCTTGTCTTGTAGAGAACATTGTCTGCCCATACATGGAGACAAGGTGGTGTTGAGGCCTAGAACCTCTTCCTTCCTAGTGATTTCGGCCTTACATCTCAACCATGATATTGTACTACCATCCCTCTCAAGTTCCTGTACATCAGGGGGTTTCCCTTCACTGTCTGGATGTAGTTTGTGCAGTATATGTCTACCTAGCAGCCACTATTTCCATTAGGGAGATGGGCTGTCTCCTTGACATCCCAGATGGTACCTGCAAAGGGGAATCAGCCTCCTGCTCCACCATTTCTTGGTGGTTAAAGGAGAACTATGGGGTTAAGGCTTTTCCCCATAGTTCTCCTTAGGGTAACGGGAGGACACAAACTAGCGTCCTCCCGTCACCCTACAGCTCGCTGTATACTGAGACGCCGCAGCTGAAGCGGATCCCGACAATTATGTCTGGATCCGCCCAGCTGCGTGAGTGACAGCTGGCTCTGCCTATCTAGAGGCAGAGCCAGCTGTACCCGCCTCCTCCCCCGTCCGATCCGCCAGTCAGCGCTGGCGGATCGGGGAGAGGGGAATCCAGCACCTCCCCTGTCACTACAGAGGGCTGTGACAGGATCGAGAGGTGAGCGAACGCTGGTATGTGTTCGCTCACCTCCCGATCTACTGAGCCGACCTGTGACAGTCTCATTGTCACAGGTCGGCTAGAACTTTGAGGTGAGTGAAAAGCATTCACCTCATAGTTCTCCTTTTATTTAGGCCTTTGGAATTGGGTTCCACCTTTCCTGTCAAATTGCTAGCTCTGCTACATTTGTGGCACTGCTTTGTTGCAAAATTGAGGCATGCTGGGAGTGGGAGGCAGATTTGTCACTGTTTTTTGTTTGCCAGGTTCCCAATCGCCCCAACAGGTGTCCCTTTAACCCAAATGTCTTAGAATTATTACATTCCTGTATCCCTCAATGAACTCCAAGAAAGTTATTTTAAGGTGAGTACAAAAATGTGATGTTTACCTACAACACAGGGATGAAATTAATATAGTGAACATTGCTGTGTTTGACCTTCAGGGTTATTGTATTTTTATATGTAAATAGTTCTTGCCAGAGAGTCTGAGATAATTTTTTTCTCTTCATATACTTCAGCAGCCCCGAAGATGGTGAAATCCCGCTACATGCAATATGACAAGCCCAAGGCTGCTAAGGTAAAAAAAAAAAAAAAACCCTTAACCCTTTCACTGCCAAGCCCTCCGGAACATTTTTCAAATCAGCTGGCCAAGCCATTTTTGAATCTTCTGCAATTTTTTCCTATTGATTTGATTTTCAACTGCTGCGTTGCTAGCGTTTGTAAAAGACCCCCCAAACCATATATTTTCTGAAAGCGCAGGCCCGGTAGAATAAAAAGCTGGTGATACTAAATTTGTAGGCCGTGCGATAATTGCGCAAATGTTTCTCAAATTAATATTAAACCGATAAAAATACACAATTCAATTGATAAAACACACCAAAATCAGTATCAGCGCACAAAAAAAAATTATTTTCTGACTAAATCTAAAAGATAAAACTGTATTGAGTTAATAAATAACAAATATTTGCAAATTTGAAATTGCGCCTTTTTTGCGAAAAGGTAAAAAAATTACGGTACGCAAAACTGTAAATAAGCAACTTATGTTAAAAAAAAAATTTCACGCTGTGTTGGTGTTTGTGTTGTGATAAAATGATACAGGCGTATATTTATTGCAACACAAAGATCACAACGCATGGCAATGCGTCACAAAGCTTTACCCCGCTCCCACAGACCCTACAAGCAGCGGGGATCCATGGAGTCTCTCATCCCTCCCTGGGATGGCTCCAGGGAGGGATGAGAGACTCCAGATGCCGGCGGCCGGCAGCGGCGGTGCCGGCGGGGGAGGGGGGGCGCCCAGTATTTTTGAAAATAGCGGTCATCAGCGGCTTGTGAGCCGCTGATGACCGCTATTAATTTAAAGGGGACAGTCTGCTGAACAGTTCTACTATAAGCTGATGGTCGCTAAAGTGACCATCAGCTTATAGTAGAACTGTAAATGCTAGGTCCGTATGGCATACTGAGCTGGCCAGCTGGAAGCACTTTTGTAGGTCCGTATGCCATACGTCCTTGGCAGCGAAAGGGTTAAGGGAATATATGGTAGTTTGTACTATTGTACAGTTTAAGAGAACATTCACACCAGCAGCTGATCGAGCTGCATTGCACTTTGTTTTTGTTAGAACTTTATTGAAATGTCACAAGTGACATTTCATTCAGTACTATGGGCTCACCGCAGTGTGATGCGCTTGTACTACCAACGGGAAACTTAATCCTCCTGTCCCATCGCACTCCTGGGTGGGTGCGGTGGTGACAACGGATGCCTCCGTGAAATGTAGATAGATGAAAGTGGTCACTCGCACTCCATGATATTAAAGTCAATGCTGTTTATTGACTAACACACATAACACACATCTGCTTAGCCTAAGGAGATGTGTGTTATCTCAGTCAATAAACAGCATTGACTTTAATATCATGGAGTGCGAGTGACTACTTTCATCTGTACTACCAACGGAACGCCCTTCCATGACCAGGCAAATTATAGCACTTTGGGAACATCCAACTTCTTTTGCAATGACCTTTTTGAGGCTTTCCCTCCTTATGGAGGGTGTCAATGATGGTTTTCTGCACAACTGTCAAGTCAGCAGTCTTTCCCATGATTGTGATTCCTACTGAACCAGACTGAGAGACCATTTAAAGGCTCAGGAACCCTTTGCAGGTCTTATGGCTTAATTAGCTGATTAGAGTGGGGCACTTTGAGCCTAGAATATTGCACCTTTTCACAATATTCTAATTTTCTGAGATTGTGGATTTGCGGTTTTCATGAGCTGTAAGCCATAATCATCACAATTATGACAAATCACGGCTTGAACGATCTTGCTTTGCATGTAATGAGTCTATCTCATATATTAGTTTCACCTTTTTAAGTTGCATTAGTGAAATAAATGAACTTTCGCACGATATTCTAATTATTAGAGTTTCACCTGTAATTTAAGGGGACTTGAAGGGTAATTAGTTAAGACTTAATGGGCATCTGGAGAAATTATACTAACTACTTCTCAGGATCTCCTCTTAAGAGTGCATAAAATTCTCCTTGCACACACTGTCTCTGTACTCAAGCCAAGAGCCAACCTTCAGCCACAACTCCTACGAGAGCCGCCTAAGGATGTTCATTCCCTCTGCACTGCTTAAGATCTGGCTGAGAACACCTACTGCTTTAGGAGATCCAGTACCTCACACTTTTCTTATACTTCCCAGGAGATCTACCTTTTCTTTATCACCTGCTTATTCCTTGTATGGGGAGTTCCAATGTTCCTTTCCCCATTTGTGTTCTCAGGAACTGCCGTTATACTCCTTTAGGGGTAATTTATGCTCTAGGTTAACCTGGTAGACTTAACCAAGTTAAGTCTTTCCTGATGGCCATCGCTTTGGAAGGTCCTGACAGCCCTTTCATGAATGGAACCCTATTTCTTTTGGACCTTTAAAGAGGTCAGGTAAGTTGAGGCCCAGGGCTACCTTCTGACTTGGGGCTGCTCTGATCTCTTTCTAAGAGGACAATGCTTCAGTTTATTCCGCTAAGCTTTGACCCGGTTGGTCTCTCTGGTTGATACTTGTAGGGGATTACTCCATTCCACCCTTCTGGTTGGATCAGGTATAACAGTTTTGGAAGCTTCTGGTCGCTGGATCAGGGTTCTCTCTCCCCTGCCAAACATTCTTCATTAATTATATGAGAAATTTTCTTTTTTCTTTTCCCCTGCCACCTGGTCTTGTTTTCCCATTTTTCTTGCCAGGTGGGGGTTGCAGCTTTTTCTGGTTCCAGCTTCAGGCAATTGAGCTGCAGGCAGTTCCCTATTTCTTTTTTTTTTCATGTTGCGCCTGTTAGCAGTTGTTTTCTGTTGACCACAAATTGGAATGCTTTTGGAAGTCCTGACGGTGAAGACTGGTGTCCCCCAAATGGATGAGAAAGAAAATAGGACTTTTGTACTCTATGAATTTCCTTTGCACAGGCTATGTTCAGCATAGTAGTGATATCACTAGTGTGTGGGCTTGCAAAGACATTGGGTGCACACCAAGTGGAGTTATATCCTTTGTGGCTATTGAGGAATATATTTTTTTTTATTTTAAGTTGAGGAATATATTTAACCCCTTCGTGACGGGAGACGTACACTGTACGTCCAGCCACAAAGGGACCAAATGACTTGTCACGTACACTGTACGTGACGAGTTATTTGCTGCTTTAGAGGGCTGTTAATCGCTGAGAATCAGCTTTTAACATTCATTAATGGATGCCCTTACTACAGAGGCATTCATTAATGAAAGGGTTAACCTTTTTCAGACACCCGATACCTTAATATCGGGTGTCTGAGAGTCAAAGCAAAGCGGACACAGATGCCGGCTTTTGCCGGCATTCTGACAGCTCGTATAGATCGAGAGATATCTCTCTCAAGCTATACTGGGTTTTTTTTTTTTCTTTCATGAATAGATACAAAATGTGTCTATTCCTACAATGTATCTATTCCTGGAAGAAGAATGTTTGTTTGCTGATCGTTGTTGCAACAATCAGAAAACATTTAGTAACAGCTGAATCCTGAACTGCTGCAGGATCAGTGTCACTAACTTATTATCGGCTGTTCTGAAGTTTGAAGCAGCCTGATAATAACCAAAAATTTATTAATTTATCATGCAGTAACAGTGAGATTAATTCACAAAATCTGCTTGATATAATTAAATAAATAAAATAACATTTTTAAGTTAAAAAAAAAGTGAAAAGTGTAAAAAAAAAAAAAAATTGTGAAAAGTGTAAAAAAAATAAAAAAATGTGTAAAAAATAAAATAAAATAAGGGACAAATAAATGAATGTATTTATTGCATTTTTTTAGCTGTGCTGGTTTTGTAAAAAAAATACTACAAATCAAAACTGGGAAAAAAGTGTTTTTTTTAAACTTTTTTTTCCTCTTTTTTTTATATTTTATTTGTCCTAAGTGAGGCGTTAGACGCACATATGTGATATAAATATGTAGCCCTATCTGTCCTCTAAAAAACAATATATAATATGTGTGGGTGCACTTTGTAAGAAAGTATATTACTGACGTGGAAGAATCACACAGCAAAAATGTCAAAAGTGTGTCAGTCATTTACGAACAGAAACTAAAAACAAGCTCAGTCATGAAGGGGTTAAATAAATTTTTGTGTCTGGACTTCAGCTTTAACTTTCGAAGGGTTATCAACTGGAGTTAGGTCAAAGTTAGTGAATATTAGCTATTATATTTTTGTGCATGATTAGTTTTTTCTAAAATAACCCATGCAATAAAAGCTACTGATGCTGAAAAGTATTGTGCTGAAACTGTAGAAACTAGGGCTGCAACAACTAATCGACTAAGTCGATTATAATAGATGATGGAAAACATTGTCAACATTTTACATCATCGATTTAAATGGCTTTCGATTAGTTGCCCCTGTTCGCGGCTCCATGCACCTTGCCGCTGCCAGATCCATCTGTCCGCATCCATGATCGGCACAGGGACGCGGGGAGAAGAAGCAGCAAGGAGGAGCAGGCGTGGTGGGGCGACAGACAGGCTTGATCTCAGAAGCAGGTTGCTGGAAGACTGCTCAGGTAAGTCTGCCCTTTCCCACACATGGTGCTCTATAATGTATTGCTGGGATAGTGGGTCTTGTATATTATAAAGAGCAATGTACCATCAGCTTTAGAGAAATACAAACCCCAGCAATACAATATACACTGTATGTGGTATTCTGCATTGCACTGTATAATGTACTATTGCTGGGATGTGTTGTATTCCTCCTATAGCTAGTGGTATTCTGCATTTCCCTATACATAGGACTACAAATCCCAGCAATAATACATTATACAGCGCAATGCAGAATTCCACCAGCTATAGAGGAATACAACAAATCCCAGCAATAATACATTATACTATGATGTACTATTGCTGGGATTTGTAGTGTTCCTCTATAGCTGGTGGTATTCTGTATTGCGCTTTATAATGTATTGCTGGGATTTGTAGTGTTCCTCTATAGCTGGTGGTATTCTGTATTGCGCTGTATAATGTATTGCTGGGATTTGTAGTCCTCTATAGTCGGTGCCATTCTGCATTGATTTGCTATATAATTTTACAGTTTCCATTTCACTATATTGCACACCACACTTTTCTCTTTTTTACTTCCACCGCTCCAAGCTTGCTCCTGTAATGGACGACAATCTCAATACAAACTAGTAGTCCCATCACTGGAGCAATCCTTTTATTTATTTTTTTATCCGATTTAATCAAACTCAGTAATCAGCTAACTAATCGATTTTGAAAATAATCGTTAGCTGCAGCCCTAGTAGACACATCATAAAATGCAACATTTTGTGCCCTCAGGTGGATCCCTTTATCAGGGCAACAGTGACAAGCCCCAAAGCATTGCATTTTGCTGTTATTTTGTCACAACATACAGTATATTTTCAATGGGAATTATGCTGGTCTAAGGTCTGATTTTAAACATTGAGTTATTACCTGTATAGTATGCACTTGCCATAGCTTTAACTTTGCTTTAGTGCTCCATTTTTTTTGAGTTGTCATTAGGTCTTGTTTACAATAGGATGTATTACGCCTGACATTCTTTACGTTTTTTGAAATAGAACATTTTGACAGGTAAAAGCCTATGATCTGGTAATCGGAATATTCTATTTTTGTAGTTTAGCTTGCTTTTCTACCTTTTTTTACAGAAGCCAAATGTGGAAAATTCAACATTGTCTTCAGCTGGAAAAGCTCCAGACAGGGGAGGAAATGGCACTCCTACCCGCAGATCTGTAGTACCACAGAGGTTGAAGGCTCCTTCTGGTAAGAAAACTTCTTATCAGTACTAGCGGTAACATTCCTCACTTGTTATAGTGTGAGCAGCTCTGTGAATTATTGCAGTTTCCAGGTCTACTTAATACTGGATGGAAGTTGGGGAGAGGGGGAAGACATAAGCATACTTAGAATTGTGTTTAATTAAATTCTACGTCGATTAATGTTTTCCGCTAAAATGCTAATACTATGTAACATTTTTCTGTTTATTTAGCAATTAATGCCAGTGTTGCAGATGGAAACCTCTTTCGGAAAGAGGATTTACAATCTACGTTGTTAGACGGTCACAAATATGTTCTCCCAGAACTGGACTTCTCTGTTATTAATGGTAATCGCATGTATTCATTTATTTCTTCTTGTGTAGTAAAGTTTATATTCATATTTACTGTTGTTCGTTGGCAGCCCTTAGGTATAGTCTCTTAAGGTGTATCCTGACACCTAGGTGACATGTTTCCTTAAAAGATCCCCTAAAGTAGTTCTAAAGGCTCAGTGTTTTTTACCTTAATGCACAAGTAGATATGGGGCACCGGCACTCCAAATGCAGATCAAATGCGTCTATTAATGTAGATGCAGCATATCTCACTGGTGCAACGTTTCGGGGTTCACCAGGATCCTTGGGGCCCCTGAAACGTTGCACCTGTGTGATATGCTGCATCTACCTCAATAAATGGATGCATTTGGAGTGTTAGTGTCCCATTTCTACTTGTGCATATGACGGCTGCCATCCATCGACCACCGCTGCACCCGCCAATTATCGTTTGGATTAAGCGGTCAGGAGTGTGATGGGTTCATGGACTTTTACCTTAATGCATTCTCTGCATTAAGGTAAAAAAACGCCTAGTACCTTTTTTGCCTCCCCTGTACCCCCACACTTACCTGTCACTGCTGCTGGTCCTCGCAGCAATCCTCCGTCCCAAACTTCCAGGTTGTGTAGGAGCCATAGGCTCCTTGTGCAGTCAATTAAGCTGTGGGGCAGAAAGGAGGGGTGTTGCCTGCCATAGGGCTGTGTGTGTCTATGGACTTGCACAGCCACGTGCGGGCACAGCTGTAAACAAGCTCGCACGGTTGCTTCCACAGCAGCTGCTTAGCTGATGGAGGCACCCATGTGGGGGTAGCGAGGATGCGGGGACTTGCTAGGGAAATTGAAAACAAAACGCAGATCTGCAATAAATACAACCTCCTAGTAATAAAAAAGAAATAAAGCTTTAATATCACTTTAATGTCTACAGTAGCATAGTCGCGTAGTTCGTAAAGATGAATAAAGATACAGGTCCATCTGGCTCACAAAAAAAAAAATATATATATATATATATATATCAGCTGCAGTCCATATTCACTGCTTCGGTCCTCCGTCCCCTTAATTTTGCTTCTCTATCTAGTTCAAGGACATCTTCACTGAGGATTGCTTACTAAAACTAAACTAAAGATTAGACTGAACACTTTATTTTATTAAGTGGTAGAATTATGATTTTTTATCTCTTGAACAAATGCCTCTTTTAATGCAGAATAGTATCCTGCTTGCTTAGCTAGCTGTAGATTGGTGTTGCATGCATTTGCTGAGCCTGTGTTTTAAAAGACCCTCAGAGAATATTTTGCAAGCATATTTTTAGCTCCCAAGCTAAGTGGAAATAGTCCCAGAACTGAACTCTGAAACAATCTGCTAACAACCTTAGACCATTTTGAAAATGCGTTGGGGATACCCCTGGATCTGTTCCTGTAACTAGTTTTCTATCAATGTACGTACAATTTCTTCATTGTCAATAGACCTTAATTTGTATATTTAAATGTTTGTAGGATACAACATTGAATGCTCTAGCAAAATCCAGATAAACTATGTTTACTAGCCTACCTCATAGTCTAAATTACTGCTCATAGAATGATTATAGGTTAGTCTGAAAGGAACGGTCCTTCATAAATCAATGCTGGTTGTTACGTACATCATTTTTGCAGGCAAATTCTTGAACACAGTCCTTTGCCATTCTCTCGAGTTCCTTTTTGCTTTCCGCCATTTGGCCAGTACCATTAGTCATTAAGCTGGCCTTAAAAATTAGGAACAATGGTCAGGCTAAGCTCTTCGAGGACTCACGGTGTAAGCCATCTGGTACTGGAGATTTATTCGATTTTTTTTTTTTTTTGGTTTGTTGCGAAGATCTCTGTCGGCCACAGAGGGACCTTCAGTACATTGTTATTAGGATTACTGTTTTTGTTTATGAAGTCGGTCTTTTTCGTTTGTATAAACTGAAGAGAAGAATGTATTTAATACATATGCTTTCTCCTGGTCACATATAATAAACTTCCTCTGTTCATCTTTAATGGGGTCTTCATGCTCTGTCCTTCTTTTTTTTTTTTTTTTCTTATTTTTGAAGAATTTCTTCAGGTTCCTTTTTTTACTTTTTCATATTCTATCTTTTGCTGCCCCGATTTTTTTGTTGCATTCCTTGTAATGCTGAGACGCAAATGATGAGCCTTCCATCTGATATTTTTTTTAAATTAAAATTTTAATGCGTTAAGTTCAAGAAGTGATGAGCTTTGTTGTATGGTGAGTTGTGTGTGCAGTTCCATTTTCCACTTAATATCCCTATAGTAATAGCATTTCCCCAATCCCTGCCATTTCTTTTTGTGTGAGGAGTTGAATTTTTTCCTCATCTTATATGTTGTAAGTATACCCTACAATAATTTTACCGTGTTTTTCATTCATTTGTATCTCCAGCAATAAGGGTTCTGCACCGTCAAGTGTTTAGTATTTTTTTTTTCATTGTTCAATATTGAATTACAGTTAGCATCAGCCAGATGTAGTTTCCCTGCTAACAAGTTTGAACTTTCATTCCCCCCCCTATTACTCCCACCTCTATGTTTTGTCCCCTATTGTAGAACCAGTAACCGACTGAAAAGTCAGCCCAGTTATCCACGAACCCAAACCCCTCTATCACACCAATTTCTCAGCCTCTTGTTCTGCTCACTTAGCTCCCGCTAACGTAGGAACGCGCTGAAAAACGCCCTACGTCCAAAGAAGTACAGGAGCTTATTTGGGGCGTATTTTCCACGCGTATCCATTAGGATACAGCCGGATAGCCCTCGTAAACGCGCGTTTCTTTTACCGCAAATCGCTGTAAAACCATATTACGTACGCCCAGGTGTGAACCCAGCCTTAAGGAAGCTCTGATTTGTACCAATACGTGTCATGACAGCTGGGTCCTTCCTAGCTCCACCCAGCAATCTGTCCATCTGATCCGCAATGTGGCAAACCCAATCAAACAACATCCTGTTTGGTCAGTGCGGTCTTTGTAACAGATTACCCTGTCTGCCCTTTTAATAATAGAATTGCCTACCACCAGAACCTGCTCCCATTTATACTGGAGCAGTCACTTCCTGGTAGCTGTTTTCTGCTACAGCAATGCCACTTCTGACTTAATATCGCCAATATCATGCAACAGGGCATTTTTATTGGGTTTTAACAACTCAGAACTAGCCTCTCCAAAACCTTTCCCTCTTCCCAATCTTCTAATAGTAACACAGCCTCCAATCCAACTCCAAGTTGTTAATGCTCCTCAGTGTCGCCAGTTGATTCTTTAGCTCCAGAACCTGGGGAACTTGCTCACATCTCACACAACAAAATTTGCCCTCGAACATTTGTTTAAGGAGCGCAAACATGGTGCAGGGTGTGCTTGATCCAAAAATTGACACACTCCACAGGTCTCAAGTAAAAAATTCAAATCTTTGTTAGTCCAAAACAGTGCATAGATCACAAACTATCCCAGACAAAGTTCACCAGACAAATGAAACCATTTCATCGATGTGGCTTACTCATAGAGGTGAGATGCTTTGGTGATTTGCATATGGAGCAGGATATGTCTTCCATTCTGGGTTCACTTTTTGTTTTTGCAGCAGACTGCGTTTTGGGATTTTGTCTCTATCTGCCTGCTGTTAACTATAGCAAAGACATTAGGAGTATGGTTATTCTTTGAATGGTCACATCATCTTCTTGCTTGTGATCGCACTACCGAGGAGTAACCAAATGGTAATTTTATCACCCCATAGGCCCCTTTAAAGTAGACCTTTACCCCCTTTCACTAAAAATCACATGAACCTTTTTGGCTCAAGACCAGTCAGGATGGACAGTTTGTCAAAGAGAAATGCAGTCGTCATCGAAAGCCCCTAAAGGTGAATTCCTTTTTTTTTTAGAACAAAGATCATGATTACTTCAAGACATAAATGCTGTTCTTGAGCAGTGTTCAGTCACTGACTGACTCTCCTATATTACCCAGCTCAATGAGAGAAATTTTTGCACTGTCAGCTTATGACGTGTGCAAACGGACTTGGGTGTAGACTTTGTAGGTCCTACATTGATGTGGTTCGGCCCTTTTATTAAATTTTGAAGTCTTTGATATGAAAGCAACATTGGAATGTGAGCAATAACTGTCAGTGAAAGGGTTAGTCTGTTGTGTTCTGTAATTCATAAAAAGGGAAAGGTTGCTAGAAAAAGCATAATGGCACATTCTTTACTACTAAGTCTTTCTCTTGTCCTCAGATAAAACATTGCAAAAACTGACTCCAAAATCTTCATCTACATCAGAGCAAAGGAAACTGAAAAGGGAGACTGCTCCTGTAAGTATTGTTTTACTTGTCTGCTATACAGAAGGTATTAATAAAAGGAATTTCAGCAAAATGGCTAAATACACAGTTGAAATAGTCATGTGAAAAAGAAAGTACACCCTCCTTTTGAATCCTATGGTTTTAGGTATTGGGACATAATAGAAATCAGCAGGTCTAAAAATTAGGTAAATACAACCTCCGATGAACAACATGTGACATATTACACCGTGTCCTTATTTATTTTACAAACCTAAAGCCAAATTATAGAAGATGTGTGAAAAACTAAGTACACCCTTACTGCTTCCATAGGAATTGAGGCTACGTAGCAGGCAGGTGCTAATAATTAAGTGTCCTTGATTAATTTATCAGTAAGTGTGACCACCTCTATAAAAACCAAAGTTTTAGCAGTTTGATGGCCTGGATTATTCAGGTGTGTGTTAACACAATGCCAAGGAGGAAAGACATCCGCAATGGTCTTAGATAGGGATGCACAGATACTTTTCGAGTACCAGTGCAGATACTTGGCATTTTCATGAGAACTACCAGGGTTGCAGCGGTTGCTGCTGGGACCTGGCTCTGGCACTCCACCACTGTCCTGAAATCATTAGTCGATATTGTTTTAGAAAAACTGTCGCATGACAATAAACAAAAATGTATCAGTACTTGTACTTGTAAGTACTCGGCAAGTACCAGTACTCGTACTCGCAAAACTGGTATCTGTGCATCCCTTTATTTATATTTTATAAAAACAAAATCGTACATTAAAACAGATGTACACATCCCAGGAGCTCCGTGTGCTCCTTACACAGGACAGCTGCCTCCTAATTTTTGAATTTTTTTCTAGTGTAGTCTTGCAACCCTAGTCTTAGAGAAGCAATTGTTGCTGCCCATCGATTTGAGTGGGGTTATAGAGCCATTTCCAAACAATTTAAAGCCCATCATTCTACAGTGAGGAAGATTATTCACAAGTGGGAAACATTGACAGTTGACAGTCTTCCCAGGAGTGGACATTGTGTTATTCATCTGAGGTTGTATTGACCTCATTTTAAGACCTGATGCGTAAAACCATAGATTTCAAAGAGGGTGTACTTTCTTTTTCACACGACTGTATTTACTATGTTTTCTGTTTTTACTGCCAAAGGATTTGTCGCTTTGTCTAGCCATTCTTGTAATACACATACCTCTGCCATTCAATAAGATTGCTGGGTTACTTCCTGTTTTAGCATTACTGTTTCATAGGTCAGCCCACTATACAGAGGTAATGGTGCTGGTTCTCTGTGCAATGAGAATAATTGCTTTATCAGGAACTTTGTGTGTCACCTGTCTGGCTGTACAGTGCGGAATATCTTTGTACGGGGTTTTGGAGATGGAATGTTGCACTAGTCAAATGCATGTTTTTGATTGTAGAGGTTTTGTTTCATCTGCTTTTGCATGCAACACACACAGCATGTACAGATCTCAGTAGGAGAGGCTGCATCAATTGGGATCAACAGAAGCTGAACTCTGACAGCTTTTTAAAGGATAAGTGCATCTTTGCACTTGGACACTAGCCCAGTCATATATATTTCATTATGCTATAAAGTAGGGAGGCACCGATATATCGGCCGCCGAAACATATCGGCCGAAAATGGCACTTTTTGGCATAATGCCGTAAGTGCCATTTACCTGCCGATACATCGGCGCATCCGTGATTTCTTTCCTTTCTGCTGTGATAGCTGGCTGAGCGCTGCGGGAGGAGAGCGCAGTGAGCGGCCGGCGTCTCCTCCCACACCGCTCTGCCCCCTATCACAGTCCGGCAGAGCGGTGTGGGGGCGGAGACAGCGCTGTCACAGGAGGCTGGGCTTTCCTCCCTACACCGCTCAATCAGCCTCCAGTGACAGCGTGTCAGAGAAGAGCAAGGTACACACACTCACCGATCAGTGATCGCTGAGTGTATATAATTGAGCGTATGGTATGTTAACTATATCCTCAATTATGAAAGAAAGGGAGTGATCTACATCACCTCCTGTTCATTCATAGTTGTAGTTATAGTAAACAAACAATGTACTCCATGTTATGAATGAACAGGAACACTCAGTATAGAGGATTCCTGTTCATTGATAACAGGGGATACAGAAAAGAGTACTTTGCGTTCTCAATTTCTATTTTAAAAGGGAAATATCTGGTGTCTGTTTTAGACCCCTAATATTTCCCCAAAGCCCCTAAAAGTAATGTAAAAAATATTTAATAAAAAATGAATTAATAAATAAAAATATAAAAAAATTAAAGTTTATTCAAAAAATAAAATATTTGAAAACATTCAAATAAAAAACATTTTCGGTTTCAGCCTGACAATTTTTTTATTTTGGTTTCGTTTCGGTTTTAAAATTTCCATTTCGGTGCACCTCCTACTATAAAGGCAAGTTTACCTTTTTTATTTTTTGCCCTCATTTCTTCCTGAAATTGTTTTCTCTCTGTGACTTTTTAACCAAGATTCCTTTCTACACCGCTGCTTTTCATGTCCATAGCTGTGGCACAGCCCCAGGTGTGACCCAGTCTCTAAGAACCCGCTTTGTAAGGCCAGTTGAAATATTGGAAACTACCTCACCATTTACACCACTGGGCACCAATTTCAAATTTCTCACCACCACTGATTTTTACCGTGCTAAGGGTTAAGCCTGAGGGATCAAGTGCTGACATCCTCTAGATCAGGGGTAGGCAACCTCAGCTCTCCAGCTGTGCTGAAACTACAAATCCCATAAGGCATTGCAAGCCACAGGCGTGACTCCCAGAGGCAGAAGCATATTCAGTGTTTCGGAAGCACCATCAGGCCTAGTTTTTTCACCACTACATGGACACAACATGTCTTCTTAAAGGCACACAGAGGACAGCCCTGCTGTCACAGTTAGCCTCAGCTCATAATCCCCTATTTGTTCCTTCAGAGGATTTGGGGTACCCCCCCCCCCCCCCCCCAAACCTGTAATCTAGAACCAATGACCCCTATTCCTATAGAGTTTTCATCATCAAAGTCTCCCTCAGCTCTGTCAGGTTTGGCCGAGGCCTTCTCCATGTCCACTCTGGATTTCCTAATGGTTTTTGTTCAGCTACAGGAGCATTCTACCCGCAGAGGCTGTAAGTGAGCTCCGACACTATCCCCTGCAGAGTCTGGCTTTGACCCCCTGGGCCCATGAATCAAACCAGACTTTGAGGCTCCTGTTACTATATCTAATTCAGATCCCCGACATTCTGTCTCTAAGGGACTATTTATGGGCCACAGCAGTCTCCCGCTTTTGACATTTAGGTTGTTTTAAACCTTATAAATGCAGGGTGTAATGCAGGGAGTTTAATCTGCTGTGTAAGGCTTGGGTCTTTAACCGCTTGAAGACCAGGTGTTTGGACCCCCCTTCCTGGCCAGGCCATTTTTCAGTGTTCAGCGCTGCAGTACTTTGACTGACATTTATTCCGTCATGCAACGCTGTACTGAAACAAATTTTATATTATTTTGCCGCCGGGAGTCTGTTTAAACTTGTAGAGCCGACTGTCGGCTTTACAACAGATATGGGTTATAAAAGGGCCTCAGTCATGAAGGGGTTAAGGGGGGATATGATCTCCATGTACAAAATGTTCAATGGTGGTAGCAACATTAGTGATAAACTGTTTAAAAATAACTCCATTACAAAAACTAGAGGCCACCACCTAAAATTGGTGGAAAAAAAATTCCAGCACAAGGGGCGAAGGGGGTTCTTCACAGTAAGATCAGTTAGGGTCTGGAACTCACTGCCACAGGCGGTGATTTCAGCAAAGAATGTGGAATTGTTCAAGAAACGTTTGGACAATTTCTTAAGGGACCGTCATAGACAGGGGTACGGGTACTCCTAGAATGAGATCCTAATAGGTTGGACTTGATGGACTAGTGTCTTTATTCAACCTCAAATACTATGTAACTGATGTCCACACAAATGCACGCAGCACTTTCACCTGCAACTCAGTTAGCATTCAAAGGGTCGCCATCTTTTCGGCCCTGTTTTTGACTCAATGATTAGCTATGCCACAGGTGGCCATAGTGTGTCCCTGCCTCATCGCAGGAGGATGCAGGAGGGGTCAGAGGAAGCCACTACTTCAGCAGTAAGTAACCATAGGCCCTCGGGGCCTAATCCTCAACTGGCTCACACGTCCCACACAAGACCTTATGTACATCCTTGTGCCTTCTGGCATCCCATTTGTGGAACACTTAGATTAGGATGAGTGGGCTGATCTCTCTCCCACCCACCCTGATGGAACGCCGTTTGCCTGCGTCTCCCAATACCTGGGGCTTAAGGTATAATTTAAAGTTTGCTTATTCCATCATGCTAACTTCATGGTTGATATCCTTGGGTTTGTTATTAGTCACAGGGATTTTTTGGCTATCCTTTCAGGATTGGGCTGGATGCCTGTGCTTTACTGCACAATTGGGCTGGATGCCCGTGCTTTATTATCCTTATCTCCACAACCCTACCACAGGCCAATACATATAACACAACATATACAGGTGACAGATATAGATTATACAGGTTCTTTATCAATGGACCTCGGGCAAGCTGCGTTACCTGTCTTTTCTTTGCTGACCGTGGGAAGCCGATATGAACACAGAGACAGGCCAAAACAGAGGCAGGATATACTGGCAAAAAGATATTAAATCTCTTATCTCTTACCGTATTTATCAGAGGTGATCAGTCTCCAATGCCTCGTGTGTTGGTGCGTCCCGGTCTCCTCTGGATCGGCTATCCCTCACCCACGTTGGGCGCCAAACTGTTAAGGACTCGGACATCAAGAATCCGACATATATCTGTCCCTGGGCCAAATTCAGTACAAAGTGTGCACACTATCAGTGAAGAAATAAAACACGCTGACACCCTGAGTCAGAGTAAAAATACTTCTTTATTATTGTTTCGCACTGTTGTGTTTTATATAGGCAGCTGATAGTGTATATGTAAACAGAATGTGAGATTTTGTTGCCTGGTCAGGCAACCTAATTCTTATTCTGGAACCTTCCTTCACTGATTTCCAGTGGTTGGATGTAAGGCTTGGGCCTTTCACTTGTAGACAGTCTGGTCTTCATTTGTAGAACACTCTTGTCCAAAGTTCTCTCTGGGCACCCGTTTTTGTTCTTTTCTCATTGACCATATCAATTGTTGTAGGTGTATTTCTTCTCCATTAGGTACTTATGATGTTCCTTCTGTTTGTGTTTTGTTGGTTCACAGCCTCTTTCTAGTGCAGGGTCAGTTTTCCTTCGGGTGGGGCCCGTACACTTGCAGTCATCTCTGCTGTCCTGGTCTGAGCATCAGGTTGATCCTCTGTGGCCTTCTCAAGTTGTTGGCAGACTCCTCTGTTTTACATGGATTTCACCTCATCTGGTTCAGATTCGGGCCTTTGTCATTCTATTAGTCCTTTGTTGCAGACAATTTTTGGTTCCTGCTTCAATCTGTCAGTGGCTGTTGCTTTCCCCCTCAGTTGGGTTGCTTTTGGACGACCTGTTTCTGAAGTCCTGTGTCCCTCAAAAGATGGTAAAAAGATTTTTGTGCATACTGAAATATTTTTCTTTAAATCCATTGAGGCACATAAGTCCCACTGCTGTGTTTTTTTGCTGGCTGTATATTTTAATTAAATGTTTTCTTTGTGGCGTTCTTTGCAGCATTCTGGGTACTGAAGGTGTTATATGGGGGCTAGCTTGCAATATTGTTGCCAGTGTGCCAACCAGCCGAAGGCAGCAGTATAGCTTGACTGTTTCTGAATTCCTGTGTTACTAAATGGACTCGAAGAAAAAACAACAATTTACAGTTGTTAAATGCTATTTTTATGCAGTAAAACACGTCCCATTATAATGGGTTTTTTTCTCCCCTCAATAACAGGTAAATAATGCACCAACCGATGTAATCGATATGTATGAATCACAAACATTGCTGTTTACACATTTAACCCTTAAGGTGAGTAAATATGACATGGCCATGTGTTTACGGTTTCTGTATATTTCTGCAATTTTCCATATTTTTGTAGTTGTCCTTGATTTTTCTTTTATACACTTAAAGTGCTCAAAAATGATACTTGCATTTTCAGGTATAAACAGTTAATGACAGTGGGCATGTGTATTACACATTGACATATACTACTGATCTCACTCTTAGATGCGAACAAGCCACAGTAATTTTTGGGATTTCTTTTTGAAATGTGTTTCCATGCATTAAAATGCAGAGGGGTGACAAGATCCTTACTTGACTTTGTTTTCTACAACTCCTTTTTTTTCTTCTTTATAATATGCAGGTCTTGTTAAACTTTAAGGTGGTGTGCCGCCCCAATGGGGAATAGGTGGACTTGTCAAACACCTGGCGATTCCACTGTATACGCTGTTTAGCATGGATGGCAGAACCAAGTGATTTGTCTCCTTCAGCCCACTGTGCTGAGCAAGAGAAATCTAGCTGTGTATGGCACTTTTGCTCTGACAGGGGAAGCATGCAAGTATACAGGAAATTAAGTAATCCATTAGAAGTTAGGCTGCTCTAGTAAAACAGTTTAAGACTGGAGATGCAATTTATTACAGATGCCCATTGCTGACTGGATCTCTTTATAGGCATAACAGATTTTACACGTTCAGACACTGGAGTTTAATTGCTGTTTTTGACTATTGGAATTTAGATGGAGAAAAATATTAAACGTCTGGAAGAAAAAGCAGAGCGCAACCTTTTACTAGCAATCGAGGAAAGGAACCGACTACAAGAAAAAGTGTATCAGTTAAAACATGATCTCTCACTGACCAGAAATGAAACACAGCTTAATGATTTGCTGAAAAAGCAGGTAGATTCTACTCTAAATTCCTATAATTTGTCTAATGCAATGATCTAAAAATTCTATGAGGGTGAGATTTTTGTGTTTATAATGAATTTCCTTAAATATATGAATGCTTTGTACTTGGTTCATAGTTTATTTTTTTTGCAGTGGGTTGTATGGCATATCCAGGGAGAAAAAGTGTGTTAAAAATGTGCTTGCTGTGGGTAGAGGAATGGAAAGTGGAATTAGACCACCTGATGTATATGGAGGAATTGACAGCTAAACTGTATGACAGAGAAGATAGATTCCATGCAACCTGGTCTTTTGTGGTTGCAGGCTAGAGAAGGATACTAAACTAGCAATAGAGACCTTTGGATGGGAACATACTAGAGACTAATTGAGAGATTAAATAGAGGTATAAATATGTGGGAAGGTGGCAAAATTACACGGGGGAAATGAACGTAAATGGGTGCTCCTCCCCCCCCCCTTTTTTCCTCTCCTTTTCCCCCTTTTTTTAAAAATTTTTATTATATTTTTATTTAATTTTTTTCTTCCCCTTGTTGTTGTTGTGTGTTTGGTGTAAGTTTGTTCAGTAAGTGAATGGACTGAGGTCCAATGTTTATCAATGGGATTTATAAACGATATAATGTTATGCACCAGGAATAATATGAATGTATTGTTCTAATTGATAATTTATGTGAGAATAAGCTATCTGTGATCTATTTATAAAAATAAAGTTTTAATAAAAAAAAAAAATGTGTGTGCAGCACAAATGCTGTCATGATTAGACATTGAAAAGCTGTTACACATTTTAAGCACATATGTGTGTGTTTTTTTTTTCTAAAATATTTTACCAACAACTGATGTTTTTAAGATGCAAGTAATTTGAAATTGAATTTTCAGTTCACTTGGTCATAACCTGGGATGTCATGTAACAGAGAACTATTTAGCACTTTGTTAGCTGCTACCTGTGTTGTAACTTGCTGCAAATACATAAAATGTATTTGAACTTTTTGAAACTTTTTTTTTTTATATTTAATTTTTTGTCTCCGTCCCCCACAAACGCGTGCATACTAACGCAAACACACGTCAAGTGCGCCTACTCATGAAAACGATGATTGTGCCACACATGTTAGCTATTGCCACAGGCACCAGAGTGAGAGCAATAATTCTAAGGCCAATATTCAGGGTTAACTCTAAACTGATGGTCTGAACAGACATAAACTGTCACATATGGACAATATAGGGTTTCACGGGCGCATGTGGTTTTTAAGCTTGGCATATTGTGTATCTAATTACTCGGCACAACCTCATCTTTTATATTATATTGCTCCTGAAGAGTCAGAGTACTGCTGTTACTCACAAATTAAGGGTCTGTTTTGGCTCTTATTGGTGCTGTGTGCACCACCCTAAAACTCTGTCCATTGCTTCTTCCAGTGCTGTTTTCGGTCTTGGTTCCTTAACCCCTTCGTGACTGACGACGTACAGTGTACGTCGCCAGCATCGGGGCTGTTTAAACAGACTCCCGGCGACTTTATCCGCCGGGAGTCTGTCTAAACTTGTAGAGCCGACTGTCGGCTTTACAACAGAAGCGATTCTGGCGACTTACCTGTCGCCAGATCGCTTCTGTTTCCCGAAGAAGGGCCCCCCCCCCCCCGCCGGACACCCCCGCCGTGCTTCCCGGGCTC